ACTAGGATCAGGCGATGTTATTCAAACCACCTGTGCTGTAAACTATTACATACATTCATTAGTAGTAGCAGTTAGTTTTATCTGTATAGTGAAACAACATACACGGTCATATGTTGAAAGTTTGAAAGTTCAAAGAAATGATACTCAAGTACCGAAAAAGCTTTCTTACTATCATATCTACAGTAATGTTGAAATGCGCCTCCGCTGAACTGAACAAGCGTGACCACCAACAGGCATGATAGTTTATGGCAAATGACAAAGTTCACGCTACTAGCCTCATGATTTATTCGGCACAATAAACAAAAGTATAGCTGCAATGAAACATAAGCTTGGAATAAAAATACAGTTATGAAACAAAATTAAAATGCTTTTTATGTACATATATAAACATGAAATCCTAGTTAAAAATAAAAATACTCATTTATTGTTTAGGTTTACTTAAAAATATTATTTCAGGGTCTTGTATATTATTTGAACAATAAGGAAAGTACGTGATTATTAAGAAAATTTAAAGTAGATTTGCATTTTATGGATGATAAAAATTTTTGGGGGATTTTAAAATAATGTACCAAAACATAAAAAGTAATAAGTTCAAATCTGTAACAAATATAAATATCGTAATCATTTCTTATAAATATCACTTCCTAATGTAATTTTACAAGATATTAAAGATCATAATGCAAAAAACTAAATTTATCAAAAGTAACAAGCTTTATGTTTCTTAAACTACATGGATTTATGAAAGTTCTTATGAAGTTTCAAATAGTTTCATCCATTAGTTTTATTGTTGGAATGAAATATACCAAGACTTGCATTGGCTACTCAGAAAGTTAGTAGCCGGTGGTCATCAGGTTAAAGTCTGGTGCTTCTGTCTTTGTAGTTACACAGGATTTTCAGCTTAATACCACTTCTAGTTACAAAAATAAATGATTATTTGAGCAAAAATATGCTTCTGATGTGATTTCTTACATATAATTCTGTGTTTCCTAACAGGTATGTTGTGTCATTAAATATGAATAGGTGTACCACAGAATTTTAGAAAACTCATAAATGAGAAAAACAAGTAAATAAAATGTGTCTTTTGTGGATACAACTGAAATATATTCTCTTGTTCTCGAGGTAGAGGCAGGAGACATTACATTATGCTATGCTCTAATGACTTTGTAGTTTATATGGTAATAAGAGTTGTGTGTTGGGCCAAGTTTTGATAAGGTGCTGGGAGGGGGGAGTGTTGGTTTACAACACAAAATTTTTATTAAAGTAAGTGTACCTTGGGGTGGAAAAACAGAAAAGACTGACATAACTACAAATATTGAAGCATTGAGCAAGCAAATTCTTGAACACTCCTTGAAGTCACCATGAATAATTCATCTGTATATCATCTCACAAGAGAGAATTCAAATATTAAAGGTAAGGATTTCACTATTTTTGTAGGGCTCAGACATAGTACTCTATCAAGTAAAAGAGGATCTTACTATCAACATTAGAAAGCTTACAATCAACCAAGAGAAAAATATACTCTTAGGCAAAGAGCAAATTTATCTTACATACTTTCCTATCCTTCTA